TCCATGTATAATGCACTTTGTAGCATTTCTCGTAGGTCAAGTCTAGTAGTGACAAATTCTCTTAGTCTTTGCTTGTCTGCAAAGTTTGTTATTTCTCCATTGTTTATGAAACATAGTTTTTGCAGAATAAAAAATTCTTGGCTGGCAGTTCTGCTTAATAATACTAAAAATGAGGCCCTAATCCCTTCTAGCTTGTAAAGTCTCTGCTGAAAAATCTGTTATCATGATGGATTTTCCTTTGTACATTAGTTGTTGTTTTCATCTTGGAGCTTGTAGAATTTTCTTCTTCCTTTTGACTTTGACTAGGTGGATGACTATGTGTCTTGGAGATGTCCTATTTGTGATGAATCTTCCCTATGTTCAATGACTGTCTTATATCTGGATGTCTAAATTTCTGGAGATACCTGGGAAGTTCTCCCCAGTAATTCCTTTGAACAGGTTTTCTAAGCTTTTTGCTTTTTCTTCTTCTCCCTCTGTAATATCTGTAATTCATTTATTGGTTCATTTCACATAGTCCTATATTTCTCTGAGTTATTGTTTATTGTTTTTATTCTTTTTACTATATCTTTGACTGACTGGATTAGTTGAAAGCCTTTTCTTCATGCTCTGAGATTCTTCTGCTTGGTCCAGCCTGTTGTTGAAGCATTCTGTTGTATTTTTTAATTCCCTAAATGACTCTTTCATTTCATTAAGTTCTCCTATATCCTTTCATATGTTGTCTATCTCCTTAGTGAGTTTTTCATTCATGTCCTGATATTGTGTGTGTGTGTGTGTGTGTTGGTTTTCAACTTTATCTTCAATTTCATTCATCTTGTTTGCCATCCATATTCTTGAAATTCCATTTCTGACATTTCACCAATTTCCTTTTGATTGGGGTGTGGCTGTGCATCTATTGTGATCCTTTGGGGGTGTCAAACTAGCTTGTTTTTTTCATATTGTCAGAATTTTTTTACTGGTTTCTTCTCATCTGTAACCTCTTTTTTCAGCTCATGTATGATATGTTTGAAGTGCACTTATTCTCCTTTGCTGGGAACTCCCCTACTTAGTGAGGAGGGGAAATCCCTAGATAGTACTTTTATGTCCTACTGTGGAGGACTGACCTGGGGGAAGAGGGGCAGATGTACTGAAAGCCTGTAACACACATGTTCTCCTGCATCATTCCATTCCCCTGTGGTTGTCACAGTCCAAGCTGGTGCTGGAGGTTGTTCATTCAGATTGGTAGGTTAGTCCTCAGGCCTCTGTTGAAAGCTTGGGCAGGAGCTGGACAAGTCCCTCTTCATAGAGTCAGGTAGTGTGACCTTCACCAGTGCCTGAGAACTTGGTGGGTGCATGGACATGGCACAGGACTGCAATCAGTGGCAGAGCAGGTTGCATGACCTTGGAAGGTGCTATATAAGTCTGTGTAAAATCTCCCTCTGCCTTTCTTATAAAAACCCTTCCTATAGCATTTAGGGACCGCATAGATAATCCAGGATAATCAGCCATCATGAAATCCTTCATTTAATCACATCTACAAAAAGCTCTTTTTTCAAATAAGACAACATATATAGGTTCTAGAGACTAGGACCTGATATTTTGGGGAACCATTTTTTAGCCTACTAAGGGTCAATGCAAATATTTATATGTAAATGTTCAGAGAAATTTTATTCATAATAGCCACAAACTGGAGGGCAATGTCCATTAATAAGATAATAAACAAACAAATGGTACTATATCCATTCAGTGGAATTCAGTGGGATCATTCAGTATAAAAAGGGATGAATTGTTGAAATATGCAACAACATGAATAAATCTCAACTTCTCTTGAGTGAAAGAAGCCAGACACAAAATAGTACACACTGTATGATTCATTCCATTTGTGCAAAACTCCAGGACAAGTAAATCTAAGTTATAATGAAAGAAAGCAGATCCATGTTGGCTGAGGGCTAAGATTAAGGAATCCCGATTAAATGGGAAGGGATATAGAGAAACATTTTATGATGATGGAATTGTTATATGTCTTGATCATGGTGATGGTAACATAGGTGTGTACATATGCCAAAACTGATTGAACTCCACCCTTAAAATGTATGCATCTCATGGTATATGAATTAAATCTTAGTGAAGTTGGTTTCCAATATAGATTTAAACAATTAGGATTTGCTTATTTTTAAAACTAACTTTAAAATTAAAAAAAAATCTGAAATCACATTATCCAAAGACTTAAAAAAGATTCCCCCATGAAAATATTTTAAAAATATGTATGTATTTTTATTACATGCTATTATTTCATTTTTTTCTGTGCATGCCTTATTCATTTTGAACACATTGTAAGATAAGTGAGGAAGAGACTTTTCTCTATGGCTATCTAGTTTTCCCCTGAGAATTATAGTCATTTTTTTTCATTTATTAGAAATGCCACCCTCATCATAACTAATTTCCCACATATCTGGTTCTATTTTTGTAGTGTTTATTTTGTTCCATTGATTTGCAGATTTATTTTCCTTTGCTTTTTTTTGTTTGTTTGCATGACTTTTTAATTTTTATTTTAGCTTTAAGAACATTTTAGTGTCTAGTAGGTTAAGACCCTTTTCTCATTAGTCTTCTCTTTCCAATGACAGTTTCTTAAGTTTTATTTCTGCAAGACTTCTATTGTCATCTAAGTTAAAAGACAAACAAAGACAAATACCAAAACAAAACAAAAGCTTGTATGACAAGACTCCACCTGAAATAACATTTAATATACAAATTAATTTAGGCACAAAATATCTTAAAATGTTGAGACTTCTTCTCCATAAATAAAGTAAGCCTTCCAGAGTTACTCAAATGTTCTTTTGCATACCTCACTCTGTAGTTTGCATTATAAAGACATTTCTGGTGCTTGTTACTTACCACATAAGGTCTCATGTTTATTTACACCTCATTGGGATTATACTCTTAATAATGTAAAGTAATTGTCTGATTTCACATATTTCATCTTGATGAAATTTTTCTGATATTCAGTACTAGGTAGTAAATACACTCTAATATAACTTTGTCTTACCTTTTACTTTCAACTTTTCTGACCCACTTTATTTTAGCAAGATTTACGATTGGCTTACAGTTAAAATTTTATATCTATTTTTTTTTACATTTTTATTTTATTTCAAGATAATATGAAAATAAGAACATTTTGATTGCATTTTATACCTTTGCCTCTCCCTAGCAAGGGTTAGAGGTATGGCCTTCCCCTCCACATTGCTCACAACATCCCTCAGATGTGGGTCTACCCTCCCAACCCCTGAATCTCTGGTGAACACCACTAGCATTTGGGCACTATAGTGTTAATCAGTCAGTACCAATTTGATGGCAAGTACATGTGGAGCCCATTTTTCTGATCTTGTGTCACTTCACTTTGGATAATGGGCTTAAGCTTAAGCCAGGATAATATAAGCGGTGCTAGCTCACTGTCATTTCTTAGAATTAATATTCCATTGTAAACATATACCAAATTTTAATAATCCACTTATGAATTGATGGGCACTTGAGTTGTTTTCACGTCTTTGCAATAGTGAATTGTGCTGCTATAAACATTCAGGTGCAGATGTCTTTATAATAGAATGTCATATGCTCTTTTGGGTAGATGCCTAATAATTGTATTGCTAGATCAAAAGGTATTTCTATTTTTAGCTCTTCGAGGTATCTAAAAGAAGCCTGATGTTTTGTGTGTATATCTCATTGCATTTATTTTTACAAAGAATGTAACTTATAAAAATTTTAGCATATATATTAATCAATTAAATTTTCCCTTTGGTGAATTACTTGCTTTGTTTCTTTACTAATTTATTGATTTTAGTCCAAGTGTTTTTCATATCTAATTATGTGAGCTAATAATAATTTAAAGATATTGGCCATTATTTTTTGCCATACTTAGAGTCTTTTTCTTTCTTCATTTTTTTTTGTTTATCCTTATTTTTAAACTTTGGAAAAACATCTTTTCATGAATAGAATTTCAGAATTTTTTAAATAATTAAAGTTATGAATACTTTTCTTTGTAATTTATTCCATCATTTTGGTTCTTGAAAAGTCTACCTTTTCTATTTCACAGATTTGTTAGACATTTATTTCAAATTTCTTCTATTTTTAATATGGATTTTATTTTAAATTTTTATGTTCTAAATAGGTTAATTAGATAATTCTGGAAGTATTTATTTAGCTATTGGGGTAAGAATCTGAATTCATGTTTTTAACAATTAACTTACTAATTCTTCCATCTGCATTCATTCGTTGAAAAATTCTGTTAAATTTATTTGTGATATTACCCTTTTTCTGTTATACATTTTTATATGAAAAAGGGTTTATATCTCAGTCCACTCAATTACAAATGGTCTAGATAGGGTTAAAATACCAAAGTACAAAGGAGACTTTTCTTATTCAATAAATTTTAATAAGTTCAAAACTCTATAGTATAATTTTTCATCCAAAGTATTTTCGTTATTTATATCTGAGTTTTATAATTTCCTGACTTCTTGCTTTTTAGAAGACATTGTTTTCATTATTTGATAAATGAACTGTGAAGCAAAATTGACATCAGTTTAATTTTATTTCATAATCAACAAAAAATTTCAAATAAAACACAACTGTAAAAAGTCTCCAGTTTATGCTTTCATTTCACATTTTGTACACTGAACAATATTTATAAGATACCAATTTTTATTATCTTATAACTGGGATGAGAGGCAGTAACAATTCTCCCAGATGGTTAAATGCACCAGAGGATTGCTGCTTTTATTTTCCTAATTTGAGAGATATAAAGCAGTTTTTACTCCCAATATAAATTCCAGATAAAAACCATACCTTTTGCTCACTTCTCATGTTGGACATTAAGAGTGACACACAAGTGAAAAAATAGCCTTGTTACTAAGCTAATGCTTTCTTGAAATCTTACTTGGCTATATGACAACTGCTAAATTTATTTGTTAAAAACCAACTTACAATGAATTGGTTATCCTGTTAGCTTTTTTCCCCTTCTTTTTTCTATCTTTCCTTCTTCCTCTCTTTCTTTTTTTTTTTTTCTTTCTTCTGGCATATTTAATTAGAGAACATCTATCTGTAGACATTATGGAGATTAACTGTCCTTGAGGAAGGAGGGATAATGTAAGTAAAAATAATAGGGAAAACTGCTATATGGAATTGCATATAAAAATTTTTACATTCTTGACCCATATTCAGACACTATTAGCTGTGACCATTGCAATGTGAAAACTAAAATGAGAGTACATTTTTTTAAATGAAAATCCCAATATACAAAGAAACAAACAAACAGCAACATAAGCTAAATATTCACTATACTAGAAATGAACCACAGGCTTTTGAGTCATACTCCAGTGAACTCATGTCCTTAAATGGAAAGTTCAGCCACACACATTTGGCCACTGAAGGTCTCTGGTGCCCACATTTAGGGATGTATCTTCCCTCACAAGGGCAGCCACCTGTAGAAGTGGACTCCTGAGATAACTGTCTGCACCAACAATTATATGGCATGGTTCAGTCATTGTACAAAGACTCTTCAGAGAAGTTGGGATTGAAATGCACAGAGGAGCAAAAAGGGATGATGATGCCTGATGATTAAGAGTCCATCCAGGAAGAATTATTCTTCATGGGTGTAACATCCATTTCAATAACAAAGTATCTATCCAATGACTCATACTTATTTGTCTGTGAAGTTACATGAGAGGATCCCCAGATAAAGCACTTTCCCAGTTACCAGATCTAACTCTCAGAAAAAAAATTTATCCCTTAAGAAAAATGTGAGCTTGGTGTTAAACTCAAAGTTTGTTCTTATGTCAAATGAATTTTCTCTGTTGCTGTTGCTTCTCTAACAACATAGCAAAAATAGTGAAGAAAAGTTAAATCATCATGTCAGTAAATCCAAGAATTTTGTCCCAATGATGTGAATAACTATTCTTAGGAAAAGCACAAAAAGAATCTGTCTGGGAAAAAAAAATAACTGTCAAAAATAAGACATCCTATGCCACAACAGAGTTCAGCTTCCTTTGATTGATTGATCTCCACACTTCTCATGAGTGGAATCAAGGAACTTTAGAATCTCCTAGGTTCTGTCATTTTGTACTCATATAATCCAAGATTGTAAAATGTAGACATGGTTCACTTGGCATCCTAAAGAAAGTGAAGTTAGAATATTTTTTTAAGGGACAGTGATTTTCTTCTCTTTATAGTCACGTTGGAAGGTGAATGAGGACTGTAAACCATGAATGTCAAAATGTTTATTTTAAACAAATATATGTATACTGCATCATAGCTAATTCTTAGATTAGAATCATTATCTTTGATAAGCCTCACATTGAGTACAAAATACATAAATATATAATTAATTGGGAAAATATTACATTTTTGAGACATAAGAAAAAAATATATTCAAAGAATTTGCTTTACATTGTAATGTCCAACTTGTATGAGAATATTTAAACTTGGAAATTCATTAGTTGTTTGAGCCATGCCCTCAAAATTCTATTTAGCCTATTTATGATTTCCTTTCAATAAAAGACAAGAAAGAAAGAAAAACCACAAGCACACTACTCAGGAATCTGGGAATGCCTTTATGATGGACTCATAGGCAGGTGGGGGCGGTGTGGGCAGGCCAACTCGAAGACTGTTACTGGACCAGTGGAAATCAGGACGGCTCAGACTGTGGGAAGTATTGATGCTGGGAGACGTGTTGGAAGAGGGCAGAGTCACCAGGTGACTTTCAGTTTCCACAGGAAGTGGTGGACATTGCAGAAAGGGATGGAAAGTAGAAGCCCTGAAGCTTAATTTTCTTGGAAAGGAATTTGCTTGTTCCAGGGAAGCTTGTCGCTGGAAAGTGAGACTGGCCAGGCTGAGGTTGCTTCGACGTTCACAGCCGCTGTGGCGGTAAAATCCAGTTCTATTGAGGCCGTGAGTGTAAGAAGACCTAGCTCTCCTGCTGGAACTCCATTGTGAGATGGGAGCACTGGCTCTTCTTCGAGACAGACAAACGAACAGAGCCCAAATAAATCCTCCAATTACTAACCCAATTGCCATGGACACGGTGAAGGATATGATAAGGTCCTCTGAAACAAAGGAAAAAAATCGCTAAATCAATTTTAAGTAAATATTCAACTCAAAACAAGGGGCAGAGTATAAACTGTAATTCAGGGAATGCATGATTAATTTAAACATACTTTGAGTTAGAGAAATAGATGATGGCACCAGGTAGATATGAACAAATGGAAGAGGCTAATGTTTCTATCTTTTCAAGCAAAAAGATACAAAGTAACACTTTCAGCTGCAGTGTTTCAGGTTGCTTATGCTATTTTATCATCTTTAAGAAATAAGAAATAGAAACAGTCTCCTGACACCATATTTTAGTTCATAAATTGTTTATACAGTTGCGAATGTAGTCCAAAAATTAATTCTTTTTGAGTTATAGTAGTAACTAATGTGACAAGTTGATAAAGAATTTCGTCATGACTTTGACTTTGCCTTTTCCTCTGCAGGCTTTCATCAGTCACATTGATTTCTACCACCTGCAGTCTTCATGATGCCTCACTTCCTGTGCTCATTCTGAGTCAGGAAGTGCTGGGATAGAACCATCTGGCAAGCTGACTGATTTATGTCATATTTCCTACACTCTCAGACAGTCACCTATATCTCTGACTCCTTGATAACTTGACCTGTGCAGAACACTGGGCTCTTTATTGTTCCCCAAGTTCCAGCTCATGCCGTTATCATGCCTTTGTTGTTGTGATGATAAAATTCCTGTCCCTTGAACCTGCACAGAATCTCTGCTACATAGCTGTATCCTCAAATTCATAGAATTTATATTTGTTCAGATTTCCTATTTTGGGATGGGGGAGAGGGAGGGATATCTTCCCAAAATGGAAATGCTACCTTACTGCCTCTTCTGAACTAAAAACATATTCTCAAATGACACCAGGTAGCTGAGCCCCTGCCATGCATGGACAAACTCTGGATATTAGAAGCTCCCTCCAGCCTCACCGTCCCCCACATTTCCCCATTCATCACTCCTTGACCTACCCCCTAAGCCATGTTGATTTTGTCACTATCCCAAAGCTTGTCATTCTCTCTAAAACTCTATGCCTTTCTACATATTTTTCCTTGTATCTAGATTCAATTTTTAATCATCTTCTGTCTGGAAAACTCATTCTTCAAGATCTACTTCAAGTATCACATCTTCAATAAAGACTCCTACATTTCCTAGACAAAAATGAGTTACTGTTAAGTAGAAAGGCACACTTGTTTTACCGAATTCCTTATCTAAGGATTCTGTATTAAGACAACCATAGACTGGAAATTAGCTGATTGGGGTTGTAAGATTGCAGGAGAGGAGGTGGGAGTGGCCACAAATGCTTTGCTGCTCCTCCCATTAAAGGGAAGGGTCTATTTCCCTGTGCCTTGAATCTGGTTAGCTGTATGACTTGTTTTGACCAATGGGATGCAATGGGATTGAAACTGTGCAAGTTCAAGTCTAAGGACAAGAGGCTTCAGCTTCTGTCATTGCTGGTCTTGAGAACCCTGCCATTCTCAGCATACAAGGCCAGGTTAGCTTGCTGGTTGATGACAGACACATGGCCCAAGTATCTCTATTGCTTTGGGCAAGAGCCTGCTAACCTCAGTTTATGAATGGCATCATGCTAGATAGTGCAGATGCTAGTCAACCCACCACCTGATGGTGATACATGAACCAAGACCAGCAGAAAATCTACCAAGCTGATCTCATCCCAAATTACCAACCCACAGAATTGTGAGCTAAGTAAATGATTGTTGTTTTAAGTCATTATATTTTAGGGTGAATTGTTACACAGCAAAAGCTCACAGATACTGAGTTCCAAACTCAGCTCTGTCTCTAACATGTTGTGTGATTTTTAGGGAATTTTAGCTGATTTCATTATTTTTCATAAAAGGAGGGCATTAAATTTTATGATTACTAAGGTTCTTTCTAGCATATTGTGATCTATGATAATATATAAAATATCTAGAATGTAGAAATTAAAAAAAACAATGTTAATAAATATATAAGAATAATCATTGCTGCCTCATGTTAGGATATTTTTAGTGTCCTTTCACCACATTTTGTCACATTTATCTGTTGTGGAAAAGCTATATTTGTTTTTTCCTACTTTCACAATTATCTTCACAAATACTTATATCAAAATTCTCTAAAACAATGTTTTTTTTATCAAATCTAAATAGTAAGTTCTTTATAATAGGAAGATTACTTCTGAATTATAAGACGATTTAGGACAGATCTGTTAGGCCCAGTATTGGTATTCCAAAATGTTTCTCATAAAAATCATATTGAGTCATAGCCTTAAAATGCAATCTTTTCAGACAGTTTTCATAGAGTTAAGCTCTGTGCAGAAAAAGCAAATAAGTATAGCCAGAACTAAAAGTTACTTTATTGGCAAAACAGTAAATTCCAAATTAACTTTAATTATCAGTACCCAAATATTTGAAATCTAAAATTCTGCTTAAAAAGAAGTCATAGAAAATCTACATTGCCAAGGCAATGGCAGTCACGGAAATCAGAATTTCCCAACATTTCTTCCAAAAATAAAAGAATAACAAAACAAACAAATATAACCATATAAATCCATGCTTTCAGCATAATGAGAAGACAAAGAATATCCAAACTTCAAGTTACCTAGAAAATGAAGAATAGAAAAACAGCTATTAATACTAGTAAATTATATTCCATGCTCCTGCCCTAAGCCTTCATGGAGAGGAAGGGCAATTCTGGAAAAAAAAAATATGAAAATAATGGAAAGGTATTCTGGTACATGGGCACACATTGGCTATAGGAAAGGGATTTATATGTGCATATAGGAATGTGAGGAGGCAGTCTTGGAAAGTAATCCCTCTCTTGAGGAAGAGGGATTATAATCACAAAAGATCATATATTGTGTGATTTCACTTACATAAAATTTCCAGAACAAGAGAAATTATAGAGATAGAAATCAGATTAGTGATTGCCTAAGGCTGTGGAGTAGGATAGGAGGGAATGAGAGGGAATTTGATGTTTGTAGGAATATAGTTTACTAAATGCAACCCTTTTTTATTTCATTATTTTGTTGAACAGTATAGTTTTAATTTTTATTTCATTCTTTTGCTTCTTTTTTAAATTACTTCTTCTTGGTTTGGCTTTTTTGGTTCCCGGGCCTTTTTTTAGTTTTTTCCTTGATTTTTCAACCCCTTCCTTAGGGAAATTGTTGTTTTTTTTTCCATTTATTAGTTGTGGCTACTGAGAGAGAGAAGAAATGAGCCCATAGTCACACACCTGATAAAGATCAAGTGAGCATTTGAGTCCAAAGTATTAATAGCTAAATAGTATATTTATATTTTAGATGTAATGTAAGAAAATACTAATCTAAAATGAAAACAACATAAAATGCATAAAAATTCTATCAATTTAATCCCAGGGTATCTTGTAGCCTGCTATGAACAGAAAAATTTGGGAAAATAGTGGTAAAATAATATTGTGTTTTCTACATTTATATTTTTCTAAATGAAAAGCCTCCAGTGGAGAATTTTAAATATCAATGACTTTAGCTATGAAATCATAGAAATGGAGTTTCATCTAAAACAAACTGTTAAAAATGCTTTGGCTCAAACTCTTCATTGTATACATATTAAAGTGAAAGTTAAGGTTTATGTGGTAGAAATTATACTTGATTTATTTAATAATTGATTGACAGCTATTACTGGTCAGGGGACTATTATTTACACTCACTCATGATATAAAAAAATAAAACAAATACATTCACAAAGTATATGTCCTGGCTCTTGTGCATAAACCTACTTAATCACTACTAAGATCTGACTAAAGGCTCTTAATATCTCAGGATACGAACAGGTATAATAGATGAAATAAAAAGAGATATTTACTTTATTTTAGACAAAATGGATTTAAAAACAGAATCCAAAGAGAGAAAATAGATTCAATTATCCAATAAAAGCATTCTTTGAATAATAGTAAGTTTCAGATTAAAGAAAAAATTAGAAACTTTTAAAATATACAATCAAGGGAAAATAATTTCTTGTCTATTAAAGTGAGAAAATTAGCAAAGAATAAAATTACATGGAGTGAGAAACATTATAAGTCAGATGACTGTTTTATTTCTAAAATACATTACTGTTCTTATATAAGAAAACTCAGGTAATATCCACACTCTAATAGGTAAGTTATTAAAGAATATCTTGGACGACCACAATCTTCTTAAATGACAAATTTCAGTTTTGTGAATAAAAAGATTATTTTTGGTGGCACTAGAACAATATTTCTAGTACAGCAATTTGACAATAAACTTATTTAAAATGATCAATCTCTTTGGCTTGATAATACTTTGATTTGACATTGTAGACCTATTGGTTTGTGCCCAAAATTTGAGGAATATATCATCAAATACAGGGTTATATAGATATCTGAAAAGGATTAACTAATGAATTTAAAATGTACATGAGAATCGCAAGAATAATATATACACATCAATAATATGAAATTTAAATTTTAAATGAATATAAAGTAGGGTTAGATGGAGGTACAGAAGTTATAAAAATCATAAGGAAAAAATATTGCTTTTGATATGGATTTGCTTAATTTTTGCTCAGTTGAGTACACATACCATGAAAATGACTTCCTAACACATAAAGTCAGTAATATTTCTACATACAGTAGAAATTATTTCACCAATTCTTATAACCTTGCTATACATGCAAAAATTTTAAAATAGTTATAAATAATAATGCTGACTTAAGTGTTTCAAAGAACTCATGGGGATATATGGTAAAACGTTTGTCATCTTGTTAAGCTCTCTTAAGTCCAAATTGCAAAAATAAACAGAAATTCAGAAAAGCAATGTGAAAGAAATATCAAGAGTCATAATTGAAGTACAGCCTCTTTCAGGGTGGTTTTCCACAGGGATTCTTTTTATTTCACTAGGTTAATAATTTTTGACCTGCCCACATGTAGAATTTAGAAACTATATAATAAAAGCACCATCATACTGCTTTAAATTTTCATATATGTTATTCCATTCTGGCAGACTTTTGA